ATCACTAATTTAGTTGATTTTATCCCTTAAATATATTAATATACTAATTAGTATTGCTAAAATATAATGTTATATGAAATTTCAGCTTTTTATAAGCATTTCTTTTCTTGATTTCCTCCCAAAAATATTTCAGACAGTTCAATAAGTTTTCGGTAGTCATCTCTCACAATAGACTCTTTTAGTTATTTAGAGTAAAACCCATTAAGTTTATCAATTTCAGAGTTTACGGCCTATTCACCAGACCCTTCCGGATAACTAGCCACTCCCTGTGAAAATATACATATTTATCAAAGTATACACATAAATAAAATTATATTTTAACATTTGTCAATAATTTTCAAACACAAAATGACTTACGATCGAAGACCTCGCGACCAACCGTGTTACAAAATACCGCGCGCCTAACGTTGGCTAACGGAGGGTTCAGATGCAAGTCGGCACGGGTTCCCGTTTATAGAATGAGCTGAAATTTTTACTGGGAGTATATAAACACATAATAAATATAATTAGAGGTTATGCGTAAAAAAAATAAAAATAAGGGACACCCTAACCTACATAGCGACATATTTACTTTTTGTTTTGGTGCTTTTATGTACACCGGAAAAAAATATATTGTTTTTATTAATATATTCTTTTCTTGTCATATGAATACATACAGTTTTTGAAAACTCATTCGTAGATTCCACTTGTATTGTTTATTAATTTAAAACTAATATTTAAAAATTTGAAATATTAAATGATAGGAATTGTAAAATATCATTGTTATTATTAACTTTAGGTATAGGGAATAGTTATATTAATGAAAAGGTATTATAATTTTATATTTAATTATGTAAAAATATACAGGGCGTACCATTGAAAATAAAAAACTTATTGCTGTTTTAATTAACCTACATTCACATTGTTTTTTATCAAGTATCTTTTTAGAAATATTACAATAAATTACATGGAATATTTAAAACAATGCTTCAGGATTCCAATAAATTCAACCGAATATCAGTAAACCTAATATTAAAAAAGTTATAAGCTTTTTTGTTGAGGGTGAAACTGACCGAATTTTACAAAAAAAATTAATAACTCAAACACTATTAAGGAATAATAATGTAAAAAAAATGTGATGATTCATTTAAAATAACAAAGTTGATATAGCTTCTGTTAAAACCGGAAGAGTAATTTTGTTCAAAATAATTTAGAAAAATAGTTTAAATGATATTATAATTGCTATAAAAATTTCAATTCGATATCTTTTGCCGTTCTCCATAAAGTTCTCCATAAACGTCTAACCTACCTATATCCAGCCTGTGCGTTAGATTCAACAAGAGATATGTCAGCCTGCCCAATGCAGTCGACCTCGTTTCTCCCTGGTTTCTGATATACGCGACTACCGTCCTGGTGTCTGACTGTACCAGGACTCCTTTCTGTTTATGTGCCAACCTATTTGGGAAGGGAACCAGCTCCTTTTTATTGATATGTCCCCTACTAACGCCCCCCAACCTGTATCTGAGGCATCTGTGGTTAAAAATATCTGTGGAACGGGGCAGATCCTGCCAGATTCCTGAGCCACCAATTCGCCTCTTTTAATGCATGCGAAGGAAGAAGAAACCGTCTTTTCGGCATCGCTACTGGCAACAAGTTGCTGGCACGTTGCAACTGCCTGGAGTGAAGTCTTCCCAGCGGAATCACGAAAGCGGCAATTTCCCCAGGAGTTTTTTGCCAGCGCCCAATTCCAACGTTGAGTATTTATCAACACTTGTAAGTCGCTTCTTATAGAAACTACTTTCTTTTCTGGCAAAGATGTTCTGCTGTCGAAAGTGTTCCAGACCACTCCTAAGTATTCCAGCACCCTTCTTGGAACCAGTAAGGACTTTTCTTGGTTGAGTATCCATCCCAAATCCTCGAGGAAATGTATGGTCTCGGCAACTTCCCTTTCTAACTGATCTGAGTTTTGGTTGACCAAAAGAAAATCGTCCAGGTAAACTATGACTCTTAGACCTCTCTCTCGCAACTTGCTTGCCAGCCAATTTAAAACCCGCGCAAAAGCTAGCGGAGCACTTGTGAGGCCAAAAGGCAAGCTCGTCATCTGGTAAACAACACCTTTGTGAACCAAACATAGGAATCTTCGATGAGACGGCTTTATTGGAATATGAAAATACGCCTGAGAAATGTCTAGTTTTACCATAAAGTCCCCTTCCTGAAGAAAACCTGGGACTTTGAGGTGATTTAATAATCGAAATTTCTTGGGGCGCAAAAATTTGTTTATGCCCTTTAGATTGAGAATTGGTCTGGTTCTTCCGTCTGGCTTGGGTACTGTAAACATTTTTGACAAGAATCCTGTGGCTGAATTGGTTTTCTCCAACACTCCTTGGTCGATCAATTTCAGAATGTCGGAATCCTTTCCAGGGGTGACGAATTTGTTTAAAAGCGATATGTCTAGTATTGAGATCAGGGGTGGTGTTTAATCGTCAATTAAACAAATTTAATATCTTATACTTTCCAAAATTTTATATTTAATATTTTTTAATTTTTTATTATTTTTAATTTTTTATATTTAAATAATTTAATATTTCGAAGCGGTGACCGACCCAAAGGTGCTGAGCCTACAAAAACAGTACCAATTAATCGGTCATCGCCGTTAAAACTGCATATTTGCACATTGTTTAAATTATCTAGTTGCTAGGTCACATTAGAATTATGTATAAATAGGAATTAATTTAATAAAACTTTCTCTTTTTCAACCACAACCAGCCTATCATTCACATCTACCTAACTACCCTCAACATTCCCTAAACTCTACAAGAGTTTACATGGTCCTTCGAACTCAAAAATAATCAGTGAGCGGTAAGCAAGACCAGGGTTTTCTTCCCTGCACTCACTTACTGATTATAAAACAAGCCAACCAGGGTAACAAACCCTTAAATTCAGTGGGCGGTAAGCAAGACCAGGGGTTTCTTCCCTGCACTCACCCACTGAGGTTAGCTAAACAAGACCAAGCTCTATTAAGACGTGGGCAGTAAGCAAGACCAGGGCTTTCTTCCCTGCACTTACCCACAGACTAATAGTGCCAACTCACACCCTTCCTACCTGCACCCATCCTTAAACTTCCCTAAATTCTACAAGAAAACATCCCACAAAACAAAACAGCAACATCAAAACCCAGCACAATGGAGGAAACCAACAAAATAGTGGCCAAACAAGAAGAAATTGGGCAAGCCATCTCCAAGCTATTGTCAAATTCAAAAAAGGACTCGTCGATAAGAAAAACACCCCAATATATTACGGAAAGGACAGCCAAAATCGACGAATTAGTACAACAATGTGCAGAAAACAACAAGAAGTTAGAAGAATTGAAGTGTACCTCCCACGTATACTTTACTACTAAGTATTATGAACAAATACTAAACAAGGCAGAAGAAACTAGAAAATACCTATCGAGTTGTGCCAAACAAACAGAAGTACAAAGTGAAACAAACAACGAACAAATTATTAGACTCCGAAAACAAAAACTACGCCTAAACTCCTTAAAACGCAACTTAGAGAGTTTAGGAACAGAACTTATGGTAGATAAACCAAAGTACAGATATGAAAATCTGATGAAAAAACTGTCAAGCCAGTGGAGTTCACTGCAAGAACTTCACGAAGAGCTGATAGTTCACGAAGACGAATTTACTGACCAGTACTTCCAGGACGAACAATTTGAAGAAATAGAACTACTTTATGATGAATATGTGGAGAAACTAGAAGAAAAAATAGCAGAAAGCAACAATGAGAGTAAACCAAACCTCTCATTACCAAAAATACAACTTCCACACTTCAAAGGCGGATACGAAAACTGGGCAACATTTCATGACATATTTACTAAGGTCATTCATGAGAACAAGACAATCTCACGCATTGAAAAAATGCAATATCTAAAAGCGCATGTCCGAGAAGAAGCCAGCCGACTGATCCAACATCTTCATATTACCGATGGAAATTATGAAGCAGCCTGGGAACTTCTCAAAAAACGATACGAAAATACACGAATAATAGTCAGCAAACTAGTGGATCAAATCCTGGATCTTCCAAAAATTCAAGGTGAATCCACAAAACAATTACAAAGATTACATGATGTAACAAATGAATGTCTCAAAGCGATTGACAATTTGGGCATTTCAACAGAACCATGGGGTCCATTGATTGGAAGAATTATCAGTCGAAAATGGGATGAAGAAACGAACAGGCTCTACGAACAATCATTAGAAAACCCGACCCAAGTTCAAACACTAGCTTCGATAATGAGCTTCTTAGAAAGAAGATTCCAATCGTTAGAAGCAACAAAAAATTACACAAAACCAATGTTTCACAAAAACACGCTTAACACTTCCAACGTGAACTACAAGACAAAGGAAAAAACACTATCATGCACCATGTGCCAACAAACGCATACCCTAGTAAGATGTCCAAAATTCCTGTCGATGAATGTGGCAGAGCGAAACGAATTTGTCAAGTCACAGAAACTGTGCTACAATTGTCTTGGTCACAGTTCGGAAGAGACTTGCTACAGCAAATGGAGTTGCAGAACATGTAACAAACAGCACCACACATATTTACATACGGAAAAACAACCACAAAAATATGTAAACAAATCATTTGGATCAAAACAAGATAGTCAAACAAAAATAACAAACTATCAAACAACAACGAATAAACACCAAGAAGAACGTGCAGTTCTTTTGGCCACAGCTCTAGTCCGAGTCAAGGCAATAAATGGAAGCATGGAATATTTACGAGTTTTGATAGATTCAGGATCACAGGCTGCTCTTATAACAGAAGAAGCAGCTCAACTATTGGGATATCCTCGGCAGAAAATAACCGCAGAAGTCACTGGTTTGGGAGATAGTCCAAAACAATCCAAGTCAAAAATTCAGTGTGAGATCCAATCCCGATTCCCGAGCAATTTCTCACTATCAGTAAATTTCATAGTATTGCCAACCTTAACACAAAAACTACCGAGCGAACCAATGATGCCTGAAATTCCAACCAATTGGAAGAATTACCCACTTGCTGACCCAACATTTCATCATCCTGGACCAATTGATGCCATTCTAGGAGCAGAAGAAGTTAGCCACATTCTCCAAAAGGGCCTAGAGAGATCTAACGATGGATTACTTGGTCAAGAAACTACTTTGGGATGGATTTTATCAGGCAGCATAAGAAAAAGCCCAGCAGTAAAAATTTTAAGCATGGTTAGCCGCGTAGAAGAAGATAAACAACTGACAAAATTTTGGGACATTGAAGAGGTAACAAATTATCAACCCCGCCCATTGTCTCAGAATGACATAGATTGCGAAGCACAATACAACAAGACTATAAAACGAAACAAAGATGGGACTTACACAGTCAATACACCATTTAAAGAACATCCACCAAATCTAGGTGATTCGAAACCAAAAGCCATAGCCCGTTTAATGCAGCTCGAAAAGTCGAAGCTTAACAAGCCATCAAACCAGAACTTAAAAGAACAATACAACAACTTCATGCAAGAATACATTAACCTTGGTCACATGAAGCCAGTCAAACCAGAGAAAATAAATGAAGGAAGATATTATATCCCTCATCAGCCCGTCATACGAGAAAGCAGTTCAACAACAAAACTAAGAGTAGTATTCGATGCATCATCAAAGACCACAAATGGAAGGAGCCTTAACGAGACGATGCATATTGGCCCAAGACTTCAAGAAGAACTGACTGATATTTTACTACGATGGAGAAAACACAAGGTAGTATTTACCGCTGACGTCGAGAAAATGTATCGACAAATACATTTATCTGAAGATGATCAACACTACTATCGAATATTATGGAGATTCGATACAAACCAACCAATCACAGAGTATGCTTTAACAACCGTGACATACGGAACAGCAGCCGCGCCGTACCTAGCAATAAAAACACTGCAAAGGTTGGCAATTGACGAAGCATCAAAATTTCCGAAAGCATCAACCGTAGCTCTTCGAGACTTCTATGTAGATGATCTAATGACCGGATGCGATTCAATTGAAGCAGCCAAACACCTTCAAGACGAAATCATTACCTTGCTTCAATCTGGAGGATTCAATCTTAGAAAATGGTCAAGCAATAAAACAGAGCTAGTATCCCGTCTACCAAATGAACTTCAAGAACAAAAAAGCTCAGAAATAATGGAAGATGATGTGAAGAAAGCGCTCGGAGTACACTGGGCCCCTGCTGATGATACATTCCGATTTAAAGTAGAAGTAACAGAACAAACCAAAATAACAAAAAGAACAATACTCTCCGAAGTGGCAAAATTATATGACCCCTTGGGATGGATATCGCCAGTTGTGGTAAAAGCAAAACTACTTATTCAAGAACTATGGATTAACAATCTTGAATGGGATCAACAAGTACCTCCAAAGATAAAAGATAAATGGGATAACTTCTATAAACAACTGAAAAGTGTCGAAGATATTCATATTTTCCGATGGATTCACTACTCCCCAACAAACAAAGATCAAATTCAACTCCACGGCTTTTGTGACGCATCAGAAGTGGCATACGGAGGAGTTGTATATACAAGAACGACTAACAAATTTGGAAAAAGTCAGGTGACGCTCCTAGTCGCGAAATCAAAAATAGCACCTGCAAGAAGCAAACAGTCAATGCCACGGCTAGAATTATGTGCTGCACTATTACTAGCTAAACTAATGAAAAAAACGGTAGCTGCTCTAGGCATCACTGAAATAAGACAATTTGCCTGGACAGACTCCATGATTACGCTCGCTTGGATAAAAGGCGATCCAACAAGATGGAAGACCTTTGTTGCCAATAGAACATGCGAAATACAACAATTAATGCCGCCAGAACACTGGCAACACGTAAGAACAGAAGAAAATCCTGCAGATATAATCTCGAGAGGTTTAGAACCGGCAAAAATCAAGGATTCAGCACTTTGGTGGAATGGACCAGGCTGGCTAAATTCCGCAGAAAAATGGCCCAAGAATGAAATTCCAGAAACTCAAATAGAGCAAAAGACATGCCTTAAAGTAACCGTAGAAAAGGAAACTGATACTACCATAATAGATCGCTTCTCATCTCTCAAACGGATGATCCGAACTATATCGTATGCTCACCGATTTATCCAGAACTCCCAGAAAACAAAAGAAAAAAGAAAAGGAACACTTACTACCAAAGAAATGGAAAAAACAATAAATCAAACTATTAAAATGGTACAAGAGAAAGCAATGACAGATGATCTACGAGCGCTTAAAAACAAAACAAGCGTTAACAAAAGCAGCCGTATCGCCAACTTAAGTCCATTTTTGGACGGAAATGGTATCATTAGAGTTGGAGGACGACTAAGAAATTGTCTACTTCCATTCGAGCAAAAACATCCTATCATATTACCGTACGACAGTCATCTAACAACACTAATTATCAGAGATGCACACGAAGAAACCCTACACGGAGGAAACACATTGGTATTATCATATATACGTCAAAAGTACTGGATCATAAATGGAAAGAACAAAATTCGTTTTATGATCCACAAATGTCCAATCTGCATTCGACATAAAGCACAAACAGCAAAACAACTGATGGGCGATCTGCCGGGTCCAAGAATCACACCCTCACCACCGTTCTCACATACTGGAGTAGATTATGCTGGTCCAATCTCTGTTCGAGCCAGCAAAGGTCGCGGATACAAATCCTACAAAGGATACATCGCTGTATTTATATGCTTAGCTACAAAGGCAATACATCTGGAACTGGTCAGTGATATGACAACTGAAGCTTTCCTGGCCGCATTTCGAAGATTCTCCTCAAGACGTGGAAAAATTGCTCACATGTACAGCGACAATGGAACCAACTTTGTTGGTACCAGTAATATCTTCAGTAAGAACATGCTGCAAGAAGACGATTTCCAAAATGCAATGATTACACGTGGGACCGAGTGGCACTTCATCCCACCAGCATCACCACATTTTGGTGGACTATGGGAAGCAGGGGTGAAGTCAATGAAGTTTCACCTAAAACGTATTATTGGAGATTCAACACTCACATTCGAGGAACTGAGCACGCTTCTTTGTCAAATAGAAGCATGCCTCAATACAAGACCACTGTGTTCACTAAATAACGACATTAGTAACATGGAAATTCTCACCCCAGGCCATTTCCTAATTGGACGTGAGATAATATCCCCCAATCATCCAGCAATAAATGATTTTTCCACAAGCTTAACGACGCGATGGAAATCAATCCAGAAAATGAAAAGGGATTTCTGGAACGCATGGTCAAGCGACTATTTAAACAATTTACAACAACGATACAAATGGCAGAACAAAGAGAATAATATCAGCATTGGAGATGTTGTCATCATCAAGGACAACCAGGTGAATCCCAGCAGATGGCCGCTAGCAAAAGTGACCGAAATCTTTCCTGACAAATCTGGCGATGTTAGAGTGGCAACAGTTAAGAAATCAGATAGCCAGCCGATGAAAAGAAGTATTCATCAATTAATCCCATTACCAAACAAAAAAGATCCAGAAGCCGAAGTGAGACAGTCGACACAACGAAAATCCAGCATTTCCAAAGTTACAACAATAGTAACCCTGATGCTTTGTATGATGTTGTGCCCTTCTGTATACGCAAATTTCACTGTGAGAAATATGAAACCTGGTCTTTACATAGAACATCTTGGCCACTCGCGAATTGAAAAGGGCATTTTTAGAGTACAGATAGACTACAACCGACACAAAATGAAAGAAAATGTTGAAACCTCCGAAAATGTTTATAAAACTTTCGAAAATCTATGCGAGAAAACAACGGACATGACATATGACACTCAATGTTCTACACTATCTCATCATTTACACGAGGTATTCGAAGAACTAAAGTGGACAACCCAAGTAATAGATGAAACACATAAAAGACGAAAAAGAGGCATTTTGGGAAAACTGCTTACTTCAGTATTTGGCGTGAATGATGAAGTATACGAAGACATCGACAGCATTCAAAAGAACCAAGATGAACTACTTAAAGCTGAACATCACCAAACAAAATTTATGCTGTCAGCCTTAACCTCATTTAACGAAACAGAAGAAAGAATACAAAACAAATTGGAATTGTTCAGAAGAAAATTAAATCAAGCCTTATCAGCAATGAACGACATGAAAGGCTGGTTTAAAACCATTGACACGAACAAGCTGAACATTCACATCCTGACATCATATGAAGTAGCCAACGGGTTTATAACAGAAGTCCTGGACCACCACTCCAAGCTGCTTGCTGTACGTTTCCGGAGAGGCAACTTACACGAATTGATTTCACCAATACGTGTAAATAGGATCCTGAACGATGTTCGAAGAAAATTACCCCCAACACTGAATATATTGACGGAACCTGTATTAAAGACCACGATGAGGACGACAAACGAGTCTTTCCAAGTATTTAGTCATTTTTTACTAGTGGGAACCACAAACTTCACCTTGATGAAAGTGACCCCAATTCCTGTAAAAATATCTAACACATCATATTGGGAACCAGACGTCACCGTTCCATTTCTCAACGTCGACTACAACCGTCAATTATACTATGGATTGAACGAAAACGAGTTCAAGTCTTGCATATTGACCTCAGCAAACGAATATGTCTGTTCACCAACATCAGTTAAAAATATAGAAACGGCATCTAATTGTGTAATTGATGAAGTATACCAACGATTCGAGACAACCAAATGCAAACTGGTCCAGCGAAGTCTTATTGGAACAATATGGAAAGAACTCTCTACAACTAATGCATGGATGGCAGTTACAAGCAAACCCACCAGAATTGCGATAACTTGCAATGGCGTGAGAGAAGAAGTTACGCTGAACAAGACGAATATAATCCAAATTGCCCAGGACTGCATCATACAAACAAAATCCAACATCCTGACGCCAAGAAGGATTGATTCAATCCCAGTGATAGAATCCTTCACGAAAACCATATCATACAACTTCACAAATTTCAAACTGACAACCAACAACTCCTATCTCATGGAGCCCATTGAATCCGTGATTAGGGATTCCCAGAACTTGGAACATCTTCAGACCATGGAAAACAACATTCAGGAAAAGCTCGACGAGAACCAATGGAGAAAGATTCATCATCATTCCATATCAATCAGTATCCTCACGTCAACAACCCTGATCATCATTATGATAACTTTGACCGCAGGGTACCGGTTCTGTCAAAGATGCCGAAGGAAGTCTGCTGACCATAGAGCTTCAACAACCACCACATCATCACCTCAGGAGGGTCAACTGATGGAACTAATGCCACTATAATCCAGCATCCAGGAGACCTAAATGATGGAACTGATGACAAACCAGCAATCGAGAGGGGGCAGACTGTTTAATCGTCAATTAAACAAATTTAATATCTTATACTTTCCAAAATTTTATATTTAATATTTTTTAATTTTTTATTATTTTTAATTTTTTATATTTAAATAATTTAATATTTCGAAGCGGTGACCGACCCAAAGGTGCTGAGCCTACAAAAACAGTACCAATTAATCGGTCATCGCCGTTAAAACTGCATATTTTCACATTGTTTAAATTATCTAGTTGCTACGTCACATTAGAATTATGTATAAATAGGAATTAATTTAATAAAACTTTCTCTCTTTCAACCACAACCAGCCTATCATTCACATCTACTTAACTACCCTCAACATTCCCTAAACTCTACAAGAGTTTACAGGTGGTCTTAGCACAAAAGGTATCGCATAACCTTTTATAGTACTTAGAATACTGGCCGGTGCCCCGGCTTTTTCCCATTTGTGAGTAAAAAGGGCTAATCGACCTCCCCTGAAACCCTGTCTCCCTGAGTCACAACCTTTTATTGTCCCCACTAAACACCTTTTTCTTCTTATCAGGATATCCGCCTCCCCCTGTGTACTTGCGTTTGCGGTCCCCTCTTGGGGAACTTGTGGATTGAGACGAAGGCGTTTTATTGGAACGGGATGCTTCGGGCTTTTGAAAAAAACTGGGCATAGCCTTTGACCCAGTTGGTTGGTTTGATGGGGATAATCCCTAGATTAAATAAAGCCAGCTGGCGCCCTAGGCTTGGCTCGAGGGTACCCTCGCAAAAACCCCCCTTGTTGTTTGATTAGTTCCGCAAGAGGTTCCTCTTCGAAAAGGAAAGTACCGGCAGGTGAAGGTGGAATTGATTCTAGCAGCTGAGCTACATGATCACTCTGAGGTTTAATCAAAGACCTTCTTTGTTCTATTACTTCAGCCCTGCGACCACACACATTCTGAAGAAGATCATCAGAAATAGATCTAAATGACGAATGCGACCCCATTAACAGACTCTAAACATCTGACTTAATTTCCTGATGCTTAATAACCAGCTCCTTAACTCCTTCTGAAAAAGCCTCTCTTTGAAGCAGTAGCCCATGTACTACTGTCCCAAAAGTCAAGTCCATCTTAATCAACTGATCCTGCAAAGGACTTGTTTTGCACAAATTCGCTAATTGTGGATTGACACGCAAAGCGCTAAACACGGGAGCGGCCTGCAGCTTCTTTTGAACTTCTGCATAGCGAATTCGTGATGTTTTTCCCAACTTCTGGCATTCAACGCCCTGAGCTGCTATATGGGCTTTTGGCGCCGGCACGGATGGCTTCTGCCCCCTAGTTCTCGGGGTGAAGTCCAAATCCAGCAAAGTTTCCTTACCGATGGACGTTGCCACCCATGCGGACTCATCATCACTTAACTCCTGTTCTTGAAATAGAGGGCGATTCTCCTCTTCCTCATTCTCATTATCGGAAAAATCCCCATCTGATTCCTCTTCAGTTTCAAACCTTCTCATAAACGATTGCATAATCGCCAGCTGGCCTGAAGCCTCTTTTCGGGAAATTAACAATGGCTTCATATCACTTAATGCTGCCACAATTAGCTCATTTGCGGCTGCTCATTTGCGGCTGCTGAGCCTCGTATCCGAGCTGCAAGGACTGGCGGACCGATAATAAGACCCACGCAAAGGGGCCAGTCGAGCATCTTCACTTTTATGCTCCTGTAGACCTTCTCTGGTAAACTTGTCTTGTCTGGGGTAAACGCCTGAGCGATGTCTACTGTAGGAAATGCAAATCTTAACTAGTTTAAAACCTGTGGGTTCAATTCGCTTCCCTACAACTCATCCTTAGAGAGACGAGCTGCTTTCCAGTCTTGCCAACCTGCCGGTAAATGGGACAATTTCTTAAGCCTTTCGAGGATGGCCAAATCCTCCAAATTAACTCCGCAAGCGAGTGCACTTAGACACCATCTACAACAAAACAAGAGGTCAGACACTGTCTTATGATACGAGCCCTACCACCGCTCAAAACACGGCTCCTATAATAAGAAGAATGGCAAACAAATCAAGCCGCACGGCGGGTCAAATTGAGTCGCTTGGCTGGCTATATTGAGCCGGGCCGCTGGCCAAATTGAGCCGCACAGCTGGCCAAATTAAGCCGCACGACTGACCAAATTGAGCCAAACTGAGCCGCGCGGCTGGCCAATCTGAGACGCGCGGCTGGCCAAACTGAGCCAAATTGAGCCGCACGGCTGACCAAATTAAACCGCGCGGCTGGCCAAACTGAGCCGCACGGCTGGCCAAGTTGAGCCGCGCGGCTGGCCAAACTGAGCCGCACGGCTGGCCAACTTGAGCCGCACCGCTGGCTAATTGAGCCGCGCGGCTGACCAGATCGAGCAGAGCGGCTGCATAGAGCGAGCCGCCTGTATTTGGGAATAAACTTATGCCTGTTTCTATAGGATCGCAGACCCTAGCGGCATTTAGTCTTCAAAAGACATATTTTATTGACTCCCTTGTGGACGCAAGACATTGCACAAGAAAGTCACGTGAATTCTATAAGGGGAAATTGTTAATTTACTTACCGTAAATCACTCACTCACTAACTAAAAGGTCGTTTTGTATTTTACGTCAAAACTCGAACGGCACTCGCCGTTTGCTGCTGCACTTCAAGAAAACTAAAAGCGTACTGCAAGATCAGCGCGGAGCGCTGCTAGACGAGCGCGAGGGGTAGGAGACTACGGTTTGTGAGAGTGGGGGTTGAAGGAGAGAAGGGGAGCAGCTCGCGCGAGGGAAAACGGGGGGGGGGGTGTAATCTCATAAGGGTCAAGCCGACGGCACAGACATGAAATAACTATAAAACAATTTGTTTTGTGCTTTAAGAAACACAGGGATTTTAAAGATGTTTTCAATTAGGGAGACATTTAAAACAAATCAAATTTTGTAACAATAATGCTCATATTTAGTGCTCACTAAATTTTTTTTATTCCTAATTTTTGGAGAATATAATTAAGTGTCAAGCAAATTTTTGGACGATGAAGCAGAAGAACTCAAAATTTATAAAATAAACGATTACGATATTGTACGATTGATAAAGAATAATTGTTCCTTTGCAAACTTCTATTTAAATTCTGCTTGCGCAAAACTTGTTTATTTAGTGGCATTATAAACTAATATAAATTTGGTGTGGGTTCCATGTCTAATAACTAAGATATCGGTATACGCAAAATCCACCAGCCGGCTGCAGCTATGTAGGTATGTTTGTGGCATATTGTCTAGAAATCGTTTATACTGACCACAATTACTTCACTTGCAGACATTTTTTCTGCAATTTCTCTGCTGTTTCTTTAACAAAAAGTAGTGACAGGCAGAGAAAATTTCCGCAAGTGTTATTAAACACCAAGTTAAACCAAGAAGTAGTAAGAAAAGATTTACGAAATGTCATCGCAATGTTGATGAATTTGTGTACATATTTTATTTCCACCTAAATTAAACTTATAATATAAAGTTCCATACTCAAGCTTATGTTAAAATATTATTTTTTTTTGTTTTGGACAATTTAAATTAATTTTAATTATTTGATTATTTTTTATACGCGGAATACAAAATTTATTGTCGTCTATAAATCACCCTATTTTTTATAAACTTACCTATCTCTTATGTGATAATTTCCATGTTGTCCCAAAATATCCTCTATGGCAGCCATAAGATGATCCATTAACTTAAAAAATAATATATTGATTTAGTATCTAAAATACTTTAAATAATACTTCTGCCAAAAAGGCTTTTTCTTACTACCTCGACTCAAAATACGTTGTTTCGTCCCCGATTTCACGGCAGAAAGTTTACGTTTCTTGCATTGGTCAAGCTATACGCGCACACTCTAATAGCGGGAGTAAAAATTTTTTAGTCGCGTGCTTAACATTTAAATTTCGTACTGCCAACATGAGAAACACAAAAATATGACAGTTTTAAACCATAATTTTGCAATTATAACAACAAATAAACAATTTATGTTTTTACTTTTTTACTTTTTATGTTGTTTTAAGTGTTTAATGGTACTTTTATTTGTTATAAAGTAGTAATTTGTTAATTAAAATACAACCTTTTATTTTTACTGTATTGGCACCGCTGAATTACCATGACAACGCTACAGTTTGATTGATTTTGAATGTAAACGTCAGAATTAAATTAAACGTCAGATTTTAATTTTGACACAAATTTTTTTATATACATTTAATTTTTTCCCGTATTTTCTGCAGGGTAGTAAGAAAAATAGTATACACTACACGGGCAGAAAGTGTGAGAGTCCTGAACTGCGCGCCATGATGCCCTCGGCTTCGCCTCGGGCATCATGGCGCGCAGTGCAGGAATCTCACACTTTCTGCCCTTGTAGTGTAATATACTATTCATTATACCTTTTTAAAAATAATTAATAAGATTAGGTATAAAAAATACCTAAGATATTTTAACTTTATATTATTAAATATATATATATATAATAATAATTATAATTATTTAATATAACTATTAGATTAAGCCAGTAAAGTGTAAGATTTTAATCGAATGATCATGTATGCAATGCATATACACTAGGTTGTTTAAAAAAACAATTATTTTTTTAATGGTGTTGAAAACTTAATCGTATATTAAAAAACAAAACATCTGAAGGTCAAAGTTCTTCAGATCAACCGTTTCAAAGATATCAGCGATCAAAAATAACACTAATAAAAAATTTCAAATATTTTCAAATAAAATACAAAAAAATATCATATGCCATATTTATATTATACTTTATGTAAAATCACTTTAATTCTGTTAACCTGAGACTGTAGACTTTTTTTTTATTTATATATATATATATATATGTATGTATACCGGGTGTATCTGAGCTCAATCCTGTAACTTTTTTTATTAATAAAGATAGACACATGAAATTTAGCATGGTTAATTAGGATGTAAAATGCCACTTATAAGAGTACAAAATTAATTTTTTGAACTTCTGGTTTCGCCGGAAATGATAACATCTTTCGATTTTTAAATGGAATGCCCTATATTTTTCTCAAATAGTTCAAAGCACTTTAGATTGACCTTTATGATGATGCATATTCTGATGAGGAAACGTCGAAAGGTCAATTTGAGGATGCTGTCTGACTCAGAATTTCCTCAGGATTCCAAATATGTAAAAATATATAGGGCGTTCCGTTTAAAAATCGAAAGTTGATATCATTTTTGGCGAAAACGAAAGTTCAAAAAATTCATTTTGTACTCTTATAACTTATATAAGTTATAAGTGGAATTTTATATCCTAATTAACCATGCTAAATTTCATGTGTCTATCTTTATAAATAAATGGATGCGCCTATTCTCAGATACACCCGGTATATATATATATATATATACATATATATATATATATATATATATATATATACAGGGTGAATCGGAAGGATCGCACTAAACTCAACTGCATTCTACACATCAAAATAATAAAAAAAACTCAACTGTTCTTATCCTATTCATATTTGTTTACAAGTTATGGCGAAATTTAAAAAAAAATTAAATTTTAAAAAATAAATTATTATCTAAACAAAGTTTTTGTTTCCATAGTTACATATTGTTTACATTTAAAAGGCCTAACTGTCAGCGTCAGTGGAATTTTTGTAATTTTCCAGTTTAAATTTTTTTAAAATGCCAAAAGTTTATTTAAATTTAGAGTATGCTAATATGGTTTTGTAATTGCAATGCCACATCTGCTGTAGAAGAATATCGGCGACGTTTTCCACGTGAAAGGGCTCCTGACAAAAACTTGTTTATTCGAGTGTTTTTAACAAACTTTGCGAGACTGGAACTCTTCCAAGTGCTAAAATAACATCTGAAAAAGCTGATCGACAAACTTTAGAAGAAGTGGAAAATATTTTGTATCTAGTGGAAGAAGATGCAACGACTAGCACCAGAAGAATCGCCACTCAATTGGACATTTCACAAAAACGGGTAATACGCACACTTCACGAGCAAGGCTTATACCCATATCATTTACAAAGAGTACAGTTTCTACACCCGGAAGATTATGCTAAACGTGTGGAATTTTGTCGGTGGGTAACTAACAATCGTAGAGTTGTATCGCGTATACTTTTTACTGATGAAGCAACATTTACACGTGACGGTAATGACGAAAATCCCCATGCTATAGTCGAAACCTATTTTCAGCACAGGTTTTCAGTAGATGTGTGGTGTGCTATGATTGCTGGGTAATTAATTGGCCCTTTTATCATGGAGAATCGCCTCACAGGGAAACACTACCTTAATTTTTTAATAAATGAGTTGCCAGTAATACTAGAGAATGTCCCTTTAAACGTAAGAAGGCGAATGTTCTATCAGCATGATGGAGCCCCTGCACATTTCGCTCGTGAGGTCAAGCAACACTTAGATTAAATGTTTCCAGAGCCTTGGATTGGTCGCGGAGGTCCAATTAGTTGGCCTCCAGATCTAACACCACTAGATTTTTGTTTATGGGGTTGGTTTAAAACAGAAGTTAAAAAGTTAAAGTAAATAATCGAGAGGCACTAATTCAACGAATAATTAATACTGGCGCAGTTCTTAAAGAAAAACAAGAGTTAATAGGACAAGCAACAGGCGCTGTTAGCAGACGTAGCAGAGCATGTTTAGAACTTAATGAGTGTATTTTTGAACACCTTATAAAAAGTCATAACTATTAAACAAATGTTTCATTTTATTTATTTTTTAATTACGCTATAACTTCAAAACAAATGAGAATCGAATAAGAACATTTGAGTTTTTTAAATTATTTTAAAACAAAAACAAAAAACAAAATTTTAGGACTGCATTCTACACATTAAAATAATTTAAAAAAACTCAAATGTTCTTATTATATATACATATGAAATAACTTCTCTCGCGGTGTTGCGAAAACAAACCATTCCAAAATTATAAGAATTCAAAATTAAAAAAAAAATCCCGTGTTATTGAAATGGAAAAATAACAAATGAATTGAAGCAAAACTTAATATTAATATTAAGGGCTCAAATAGGCGCCAAAATTTTTGTTTTTAATGTAATAAAATAAAATAATTGATTTTTTTTAACACCCTAATAATAATAATAATAATAATAATGTATAAATTAATTACCACATATTCTGGCGCGCAGTAAATTTTAGTGGGCTGGACAATCTACAATATTTCGAGGCTTCTTGAAAAATACCATTTTATTTTTTTTTCAGCCTTATACAGGGTGTCCACAAAGGGTAGGGAATATTTGTAAGTTCAATAAAAATAAAACTACAAGTCAGAAAAAAATTATTTTTTTTTAAGTTTTTGACAAAGTTTTGGAAAATTAAGTCCCAAAGATTTTGTTGTCCAAATGTTGACCGAAAACGAAAATTAACTATCACGCGTCTACTCATAACTCTGAAAACAACGGCCATTTCGTTGCGGATGTTGTGCTTCAATTGCAGGAGAGTTCGTGGTCTATTTTCATAAACTTTCTCCTTTAAGGTATCCCCATAAAAATAATCAAGTGATGAAGGAATCATTGGGCCTTACATTTTTGAAAACCGACGAGGGCTAGCACTTACGGTAAACAGGTTAACCGTTCACTGCAGTGAACGGTATTGCGACATGTTTAAGAAACTTAAATCAGTCCCTTAAAGTTTTCAATCAAATTATCCCGAAAAAAGTGATATCTCGACGTGGCACCATTCCGAGAAGCGCCGATCTTACACCATTTAATTATTTTTTTATGAGGAAACCTTAAAGATAAAGTTTATAAAAACAGACGAATTTTCCTGCACAAGATCCGCACTGAAATGGCCGCTGTTTACAGAGATATGTGTAGAGGCGCAATAGTGAATTTCCGTTTTCGGTTAGAGGAATGCCAGCAGCGCGAGGGTCAACATTTGGACAAAAAAATCTTTGGCACTTAATTTTCTAAAACTTTGTCTAAAAATTAAAAAAAAATATTTTTTTCTGACTTGTAGTTTTATTTTTATTGAACTTACAAATACCCCCTACCCTTTGTGGACACCCTGTAGTTTGTTGGTAATAAGTTAAATTTATTTAAAAATATTTCTATTAAAAGCGCAATTTAATAGGAATTAAAACGGCGTAATATAGTTACTTACTTCTTTGTTAATGAATTGTTAATGCATTGCGTAAAATTAATTTTAAAGAAATAAATAGTCCACTCTGGATCAATTTACTTAACTTAAATAGTGCAATCATGATTTTATAGGAAATTTTTAAAGCTGCAAAATTTAAAGTGAGAATTAACAGCCCATAAGGAAGAAAGCCGATTTTCAAAAAATGTATTCTTAAAATTACAAGTATTTTAAAAGTTTGTTCGCATTTGTGCGATAAACGGTTCGTAAGTTAGTTTAAATAGAGTTTGTATTTTCAAAATGGCGGGTCATGGCTTCGCGGGGGATGGTCGTATCGATTCGACGACCAGAATATATAACATTCAATTTATGCTCTTTCGATTAATAAAATAAAATTTCAACCGGTCTTTAAGTATATCAATTAAGTATTTTCAACATTTTAGCAAATACTTTTTTAAGAAAAATTTATCCTTAAAAAGTATTCCGTCTTTTTAGTTTTGGTGTATACAGCGGACTTATCATAGCAGCATTCGGTTTTGCATTGCATTGTTTAATTATTAATTTACTTTTGAAGATGATTCAGTTATTTAAAAAGTTCGGATAAACTCGGTCTCTATAATTTTAACAACATTTTTTTTTAATAATTATAACATATCATACAAAAAGTATTTGTTTAATTATGTATTATTTATGAATTAATTCGCATACCGATATAATTTATAATTCAAATCTAGTTAAAAAACTTTCGCCATTAATTATAAATAAAAAATTCTGAAACTTACCCTTTCATGTATTCTTTCATTCATACTTGGTTTTCGTTTTTCTGCAGTTTTTACATTCAAAATTTTAACCAAAGGTTTTATTGTTATTCCTTGAAAAAATACCGTAAAATATACTACGGCAATTGTAGTCGTCATAAACATTGGTTGTAACTTTACAATTTTTGGGTCTATAAGAAGCACCAAAGCAAAAGCAACGGCACCACGTAAACCTCCATAAGACATAACAAACTTCTCCACTGTACTTAACTGATGAAGACGAAACCTATTTGCTATTGCTGTAAAAATTATTACACCTAAAAAAGGAGTATATTAGAGAAATATTTTTAGTAATTTAATAAATAAATATACTGATGGATAAACTCAAAGCACCGGTAAAGTTATATTGATTGAAATATTAAAGTGAGCATTTTTTTCGCAATTTAGGAAGTCGCAGCGCTAAAAGGGTTGAGAAATGATACTTTATTTCAACATCATATTTCTTTTCTTAACAATGCAAGCGGAGTCTTTTATTTTACCTTGTTCTCAATATTCTTCGACTTGGAAGCCTTCTCTCACAATGTTTTGTTTATTGTCGTTGTTTTTTGTTAGGGTAGCGTTAAGCTAAATTTGATCACTTACATATTAGTTAAATTCTTTAAACCAACCTAACGGTCAATAATTCCCTCTTTACCAGGCAGTAGTAGCAACAGTAGTATATTAACACCAAAATTTTCATGGATCGAACTTCAATATGTCCATCTGACTCTATCGCTGTAGAAGGATAACTGAATTTCTAGGTGCACAGAAAGAAAAACTGTACGTAAAATTAATAAACTGCTGTCGTCAATTTTTTGTACATTGTGATTATTACAATGCTTTTTCATCATAGATTAATAACTAAGTACATTGAAACAATAAACTAGTCAACATTAAACGATACATGCAAAACATCAAAAATTAATTATTTCCTTTATCAATATAATAAAAAAATTTATTAACGAACATAACCATTAACTCCTTAAAACGCGCCAAAATTAATGCTAACGTACGCTAATTCAATCAACATAAACATTATTACAACGAATCGCTGTCGTAGACCGAAGGTCATCGCACGACTTTTGGGCACAGTGCGCCTCTGTAAAGTTTAAGTTTTTTGAAAAGACCACCCAAATTTTTTTGTTGTTAATTATAGTGGACCATCCCCTTATTAAATACCACTAGTCACCTAAATCGCAGCTGATCCTTCTTGAAAGATTTTTAGCTCTTTAGATTTTTTTTTATTTTTTAAAGTATTTTTATAAAATTCAATTAAATGGAGACAAAAGAAAATTAAAAAATATATCAAATGCAGTGCACTTTAACAAAATCAAAATATATCAAATTTATTACACTTAAAATAATACAACAATTAATTAAACTTTAAAACAATTTCAAACAAGAGCAAAAATTCTTTATAACACTAGTGTCCGTATCGCAGGTCATTTATATCATTGATTTTGTAGTTCTTCCAAATTAACAAAAATTCTCGGTGAACAGACTCACCAGCTTGTTCCGACTCAGACCCAACCAAGTTTTCAAAAATTGGACCGTTTCGACAAGATGCTCCAAAGGGTCTGCGAGACTCCTGTGTCCTATAAAACTGCTTTCAAAAGTGACACATCAGCCTTCAGTTCACTTAAGGTACAAAGCAGCTTTGAACCAAAACACTTTTCAACAATACGATTCATTGTGTTGAAAGTCACAACAAAGGGTATAACATAAACTTCTTCCAGGTTGACTAATATCTCTTTTGACTTTAAATCTTCTGCATTTTTCAACAACTTTCTGCAGGCATTCCTTTCAAAAAGTTCTCCTTGATATTTTTTCATGACTTAATTTAGCTGTTTAGGCCATTTTAATGCATTTTCTTGGCTAACAGTGGTACAAGTCCTTTAAAAAATAAATGATTAACAAAAAGATAAAGTTCCGGAATAATACATTTCTTGAAAATTCTTTCATCTTCTTCTTTGAAAATGGCTTTATTGATAGTACCTACCAAAAGATTAATTTCCACGTTTTAAGTTTTTTTCAAAAATTAAGTCAAATTTATTAAAATGAAGTGTATTATCGCCATAGGAGCGCAACTCTTTGTGATATTCACTGTATGATCGAAGTTCTTTTAACGAAATGTAGCAATAAGGACATGGGTAGGACGATGTTGCTGTCTGTAAGCCATTAACCATTAGAATTATTTTTAAGTCAGAAAAAAATTTAAAGGATATCTTGTTTATTTTTAAAAAGTCAAAAAGTAAGTTTCTAAGATTTTCGTATGTTTCTTTGATGACAGGAACCATACAGAAGATGATCAGTCTCTTAACACCTATAAGTTTTCCTTTTTTTGCAGCGTTACCTCCATCTGAATTCCTCGAACGCAATGAAATTTCATTCTCTTTATTTTCTGGATCTTCTGGAAATAGGGACAGACATATTTTAAAAAATCTTGGCCTCCATCGCACAAAACCTTGACATTTGGTGTGCCAAACTTTTGTTTCCTTTCTAAAATTTCGTTTACTAGGTCACTTGCATCTGCATAAATAACTGTCCGTAGGAGTTTTCCCTCTATAGAGTTTCCAAAATTAAAGAACTTCTTTATAGTATTTAAACAAAATACGAGATCGACTTCTTCGCGAGGTTCTATATTGACTGGGTATTGAATTTTTTCCTGCCGATGTTCTGATAATATTTGTAATTTTATCCATCTGCCCGCCAGAAAAGCCAGCATTTGTTTGGAAATTAATTGAATTAAAAAAAAAATAAAAAAAATATAAAGAGCTAAAAAACTTTCAAGAAGGATCAGCTGCGATTTAGGTGACTAGTGGTATGTAATGAGGGGATGGTCCACTATAATCAACAAGAAAAAAATTTTGGTGGTCTTTTCAAAAAACTTAAACTTTACAGAGGCGCACTGTGTGGGTGTGGAATTTTTACATGCAATTTTTATCTTGTCAGTACTTTAAAGGTACGGATAGTTCCGCGCTTTATTAGTGAAATTGTCATAAATATACACTCAGAGAAATATCAAGTTATGAAAAGCATATGAAATTATATTAATTTAAATAATCGGGTAAATTTGATTCAAATAGAAAAAAATTTAGTTTTACATTCATTTACCAACAGTTTTACAATGTTTTGAAACACTTTTAAAGTGTACCCTCTTTAAAATATATATACAAAAAGAAATCCATTTATTTCATTGCCTTTCTCAAAGTTGTTTCAAAAAGATATGTATTATACAATTGTTATGCACCTATTAATTTAATGGGAAACACCAATGACGCCAAAACATATTTGAATCCCTAATAATTCAAAGGGATTCAAATATGTTTTGGCGTCATTGGTGTTTCTCATTAAATTAAAAGGTGTATAACAATTGTATAATACATATATTTTTAAAATAACGTTGAGAAAGGCAATGAAATAAATAGATTTCTTTTTGTATATATATTTTAAAAAGAGTACAATTTAACAGTGTTTAAAAACATTGTAAAACTGTTGGTAAATGAATATAAAACTACATTTTTTTCTATTTGAATCAAATTTACCCGATTATTTAAATTAATATCATTTCATATGCTTTTCATGACATGATATTTCTCTGAGTGTATGGAGCGAAGTCAAGGTGTGTAAACTTGGGAAGTTGTTTTAAAATTTTTTGACTTTTTGGATTATTTTTTAAGTTCTGTACCTAATATACGAAACCGAGGTGTGTGAGCTTGTGAAGTTATTTTAAACAGTTTTGACTTTTTTGGATATTTTTTTTTATTTTTAAGTTTTAAGTGAATGAGTTTTTAGTTTTTAAAATATACACTTTTGATATTTTAAATAAAATAATTTAGGATTTCATGTAATTAAGGCGGTCGATATATGTTTTAATATTATTTATATATTTAATCTTGACTTTTTACAGGAAAGCATGTTTTGGAATTTTTTAGATACTATCGCTAACAAAAAAAACTCATACAGATTAAAAATCTAGTGTTCCTGATTTTCTATCATTTCGTTGGAGTAATTGTGGCTTTTAACATAATACGTCACATTTGAAAGGTCTAAAATTAAATACAAAGTTAGGTTGAAGTTTGAAAAAAAAATTAATATTTCGTCATCCCTCTGTTTTTGTCAATTACTGCCCGCAAACGGCAAAGCATGGAAGTCGCCGTCTTGCTTTATCTCGTTCCAAATGGCTTCAATGGCTTGCCAGAGTTTGTCTGCATTGTTTGGTTAAAATGTTGTTAAAAAAGTCATAATGGATGTGACAAAGCTCGATGTCAGCTTGACATTGACGGAAAAGTTTTATTCACACAGCCACAATATAGCTGTATGAGTTTTTTTTGTTAGCGATAGTAGATCATTTTGTAAACCTCTTTAGAGCCCAAAGGTTCATATTATTTGTAATTTCTCTTTAAAAAAAAATTTTTTTTCACCAAAAACGTCTTTATTTTAAAGAAACCCCTTTTGTGATTGATTGCTGGGTAATGTATAAGATATTTTTTTCCTATTTATTTTTTTCCTATTTTTATGCTGCTAAAACGAAATGTACCCACGTACCCAGTAAACCTTTATTTTAAATAAAAAGGTAAGTAAATTTGGCAAATAATTTTAATTGGGTTTGTCTTGGATTTTATGTAAATTTAATTAAATCATAAACTAATGCCTTTTTGTTCGTAGTATTAATACTATAAGGGATCATAGATCTATGGTAATTGTTTATGGCTCGATCCATCTCAAATCACCCAGGCCATTTATGTCGAAAAAATTTTTTGCGGCGATACTTTCAGAAATGGTTGTTTAAACTATTTCAGAAAACACATGTATATGTATATTTTTTGTTTTTGCTCTTAAAGTCGGCGTTTTCGAAAAATTTAATTTTTTCTCTGAGCGCACAAATGCGGATTTTTCATTTTCCCATAAACATCATTTTTGCAAACGCTTATATCATTTGTAAAAATGCATGGATTTCAGTGCTTTTTTTTAATTTGTAGGTTATTGTTCAATCTACGAAGTGCATTAAAGAAAAAAAAAATTTTGCGCATAATTTTTTCAAAATTGTTAATTAAGTAAAAAATACATTTTTTTCAATATTTTTTTTTTTGATAATGCCACATTTTTTTTTCTTTTGATAATTTTTTATATCAATGTGTGATGTATGAACAACAATATATATAAAAGTCAATATGCTAAAATTCGTTTTTTTCGAGATATGATTTTTTGAGTTTTCACGATTTTTTTTATAAACATATCTATCATATGATATATATACTAGCGAAAACTGTAGACTTTATAAATATGATAGAATTTTAATAAGAGACAATGCGTCACCCTAATATTGCAAGGTTGTATGTTACATTTTTAAATTTTTTTGCTTTTTAGTATTACAAAGCCCTAGGGGACAAATACTGTATTTTAAGCGTGAAATAAATTCTCTAGCTCATAAAACCATTATGGTTCTATAAGCTGGAGAATTTATTCCACGCTTAAAATGCAGTATTTGTCCCATAGGGCTTTGTAATACTAAAAAGCAAAAAAAAAATAAAAATGTAACATACAACCTTGTAATATTATGGTTTAAGTTAAAAATAAGATTGTTTACGAATAATATTTATATATTATAGGTTTATATGTTTATAAACAATTTTAATTTTATTCAATAGCACAATCAATTTACAATTGTCCACTCATGGTCGCTCGTTTTCGCAAAGTAGGTAGGTTTTTCCGCCGCTTTCCTTTTTCCAAACGTGAGTTTGCCGGATTCCTTTCAATGATTTACAATTACCCCATTCTTTTTGTTTTTTGTTGCGAAATTTTTTCAATTTCTGATCATACAGTAAGCAGATCTTTACATTAGGCGTATAACCTTGTATTATTCCGGCAAACGTTTTGGCATCTTGAATACATTCAAGTGGTCCTTTTCGCAGATTGTGGTTGGTCGCAAAATGTTTAAGAAGTCCTCCGACCCCATCACAAGCTCGTTTGCCATGTCCAGAAACTGAAAATATCCATTTTCTCGAACCTGGAGATTTTCCGAATTCGGAAAATTGATACCGATTCTTGAAATGACTTGGAGCTCCATCGGATATAATTGTTATGTTTTTAGTTATAGCATTTTGGTATTTCTGATGAATATCATCGATAATAATGTTGATAGCTATGATAGCGTGTGCTGAGTCGTGATTGCGATCATCAGTAACAACTGCATAGCTCAAGGTATCTTTGTGATAATAACAAACCGCTGTAAAAATCGATACTTGATCATTTTTCCAATGATGACCTTGAATTTCATCTTTTAAAAATAACCGACCAATTCTCAGCAAAATCGACGTGAATGAATGAAATGATCAGATCGCAATTTACATGATTCTTTCTCGTTACGAATGGCTTTTTGTTGTATTTCTTTGAAGCGCAAGTGAGGACTCGTCTTTGTAACGCATTCAACCAGATGTTTTAAATAGTTTTTTATCGTTGTTGTTTTTTTAATTAGATTATTATCTTCCCAAGCAGCGTAAGTAATGTCATCGTTTTCATCAATATCTTCAGAAAATCCAAGAAGTTCTAATGTGATGACGCCGGGGCCCGGACACTTCTCACATTCTTGTAAAACGCACTTGTTATTTCTTGAACACACAATCGATAATAATATTGAATCCCGGATTCGGTCTACAGTTTTTTTATCATTGATAGCTTTTCAAAGTTGCAAGTAGCAAATCAAAATTGGCACAATAAATACATAGACAGACTTCTTGGGGAGAATTCAAGCTTACCCACTTTGGACGCAGAGTGTAAAATTTAGATATTCCCATTTTCACACCAGGATTGTTTTCTTTGAATATCTGATAAGTTTCTTTAATACTTCTTGTCATGAAACTCTTCACTTTTTTCATTTCTACCCCATTTTCTACGATTTTTTTGACATCGTTTTTATTGGGACTTTGTCGAGAACAGTCCAAGTCATCATTCAAGTAGTATTCTTGAGCAATATTTATCGACGTTTGATCAATATGATGACCGCAGTAAGGATCTGGATTGTGATATACTCCTTTCTCCTTCACTACTTTCTTTGCCTCTCTGATCATATATTCGGTAACAGAAGGAAATCTGATAAGCATATCACTTCTTGATAGTGAATTCAGCGGAATAGTAGTCAACAGACGTTCTTGGGTTGACGAGCAATTTTCCAAGGATCTGTTGAAACTCTCTGTCCAGTTGACACAAAAACCGCAGTCGTTTAGTTTTGAAAATGGAGCAGAGAACATTTCGTCTTCTGGAATATTCAACACTTAACGTATTTTCTCAGATACTTGTGAGTCGAAGTTGGTGGTTAATTGTTTTCGTTTAATAGATGCATATGTTTCACAATCGTTTATTTTTGATTTTTTTAATGGAGATACGTCCATCTGAAATTTTTCGATCTGCGAGTTAAAGTTGTCGAATTCTACTTCGGAATCATGAAAGTTTTCGGAAGAAGATGGAGACAGTGGACTGCAATTTGGCGTTGAGTCAAGTTCGTTATCTGTGACTTTTTCCAGAGGAGCTGAAAACCGTGAGCGTAATTTTTCATAGCAGGCAACACAAACTGTGTCTGAGGCGCTCAAAAATTTCCCGATGGGTAACGAAGGTTGAAGCAGCGTTGCTAATTCTTCCAGTTGACGCAGTGACACGTTCCAAGTCTATACACTTCTGTCGTCGAGGAAACCGTTCTGAACCCATTATGCAACAGAATATGCACTTTTGATAAAATACAATCTTTTCCTAAAAAAGCGAAATAACTTCGTAAGCATAAGCCCAATAAGAATTATCTCAAACATTCAATTAAAAAAAAAAGAGTTCATACTTAGACACAGTGGTCATGAACGAGTCATAGGTCACATAAAAATGACCACAAAAATGAATGCGATATCGGAATAAGGACCCTCTCTAGAGTTTAAAAGCATGTTTTTCAAAATTGTAGTTGATCCTTTTTTTAAATTTTGGACTATAATTCAAATATCAATTTAGTGACTTATTTAAGATTTTTTGCGAATTTCTTGTAAACTGAGCCCTTTAGGAAAAAATATTTAAATAAAGAATTAAAGACGACTAAATTTTCAATTAAATGATGCTTTAACAACCGCAATCATTGACGTAGATATGATTTTTTTAATTATAATATGTTTAAAACACAGCAGTTTGCACATTAATCGCCGAAAGCATATTTTACAAATAAAAAGGAAAGGACGACAGAAAATGGTCTATCTATTAAGAAAACTTTGTATTTAAAAAAAGCAGGGCCCTTAAATAAATTGAGTACCTAAGTAATGTATGTTCAGTTGAGGTATACGCTTACGCAATAATACCGCCACCAATTATTTATATTTAATTGCGAATTAAATAAGGAGTAAATAAAAAGATCTAGTTAGCCATCACCGTTCCAGGCAACACTAGTTTAATAAATAGCGATAAATAGTTATATATATTTAATATATTTGTCATAATTTTGGTTTAAATATAATTTCAAGAGTCTTTCAATTATTTTCTTATACTGCTAATTTAACTTCTTTGTTTTTTCTAAATATAATTATATTTCCACACCCTGAACATACTTTTCGTCTATTTTCTTCATGACTTATCTTAGATGCTGGTTTACTTTTCGTGTTTAAATAATGATTTTATTAATTGACTAGCTGACTAACAACGATAATTTATGAGAGACACAAAATCTGTCAAAACTATTTATTAAACAAAAGTGTTACCTAGCAACGGTGATGGCTAACTAGATCTTTTTATTTACTCCTCGTTAGCAATTAAATATAAAAAAACTGGTGGCGATATTATTGCGTGAGCGTGTACGTTAACTGAACACACATTACTTCGATACTTAATTTATTTAAGGGCCCTGCTTTTTTAAATACATAGTTTTATTAATAAATAGACCATTTTCTGTCCTTTCCTTTTTTATTTGTAAAATATGCTTTCGGCGATTAATGTGCAAAAACAATAAAGTATTAAACATTTTGTAATTAAAAAAATCATATCTCGAAAAAAACGAATTTTAGCATATTGAATTTTATATATATTGTTGTTCATACATCACACATTGATATAAAAAATTATCAAAAGAAAAAAAAATGTGGCATTATCAAAAAAAATTTTTTTGAAAAAAAAATTATTTTTTACTTAATTAACAATTTTGAAAAAATTATGCGCAAAATTTTTTTTCTTCAATGTACTTCGTAGATTGAACAATTACCTACAAATTAAAAAAAAGTACTCAAATCCATGCATTTTTACAAAAGTTATAAGCGTTCGCAAAAAAGTTGTTTATGGGGAAAATGAAAAATCCGCATTTGTGCGCTCAGAGAAAAAATTAAATTTTTCGAAAACACTGACTTAAAGAGCAAAAACAAAAAATATACATATGTTTTACACATGTGTTTTCTGAAATAGTTTAAACAACCATTTCTGAAAGTATCGCCGAAAAAAATTTTTTCGACATAAATGGCCTGGGTGATTTGAGATGGATCGAGCCTTATTGATTCAATGTAAAATAATCATAAACATGTCTACCGTTTATAATAATAATAACATGCTTTCATATATCTATGTTTGTTGTTTATTGATTTAACGTATTAATCATAAACTTATGTCAAACTGTCGTTATATTAACAACCGCTGTTGATAGATCCATGCTCATAGATTATTAATTTAACGTACAGCATTCATAAACTGATGTAAATCTGTTTATTGTATTAATTATAGTCAAACATAGATCCATGCTCCTCATTCATTGATTTAACGTACAGAAATCGTAACTTGATGAATAAGAAAATTTACGAACGACTGTTCATTGTAATAACAAGACCCGTCATCGGCTGAAAATTAATGTTGTCGTTCATTGATTTGATGTACTTTTTTATTAATATCACGTACCTTTTTTGTTCAGTGTGAAAAACCTAATATTGTTGAGACATTGGGCGGGCGTTGTTGTCAGAACCTACAGCGAATTACATTAATGTTGAGTTTGAGCTTTAAATTGAAATTAAATTAATATCGGTTAATTGCTTTGACTAAGGTTAATTGCCTTTTTATTCTGCCTAGTGCTCATAGATATCTGGGATAGTGCCGTCAGATCTTGTCAATTAACACTCTTCTCTTACTATGCAGCAACAAATTGAAAACTAAATTAAATTTAAAGCTCTATTACACCTGACAAAATTTTGTTGCGGATTGTGGGTTAAAGTAAAAAACTATTTAGTCTGACAAGTGTAAACTACATTCAAAAAGGTATAAAATAAAAAAGGAGATTTGGGTGTCAAAGTACCTCAAATATTAAAAAGGCAGTATCTGAAAATATACCGCTTAGCACGTAGAAGTCGAAGATCACCATTCTATAAGCTTTAAAAATGTAGGTACTCCTGCAATACAACTGGCAAAAATACTTGAAGATTCCGAGTTTAACTTAAAAAAGTGAAATGTCAAAGACTATAAAGAATCTTTTGTAAAATTCGTATGGAATACCAGTGTTGGTGTTGGAAAACAGGAGTTGATTAAATTAACAGGACATTCGAATAGGTATTATAATCTAGCTGATTATAATCACCATCGAAAACCTCAGAACATCCAATAAGTGTGTTCTGCCGCTTTTACTTCTCAACTGCTCCAGATAAACCAATAAACTTAAAAACCACGCTGTGGTAGAAAAAAAACGGACGAACCACTGCTAAACACTGGATATTTATTATAAATTATAAATAATAATGTCCGTACTTTCTTGAAAAAACATTTGGTTTTAATTGTTAAAGGTTTGGCTTGTTATAGTCGTATAGAATAGGCAACATATTTTTCCTGTTTTAATAATATCAAGTTTGTTGCTTCCTGGCAATTTTGTTCATTACATTTTTGACAAATATCGTTAATGTCATTTACGTAATTTCTTATCATATTTTAAGCGAAAAACACCCATTTAAGAAAAGCAGCAGTTTTTTCGCATCACCAAAACAAAATTAGGAACTTGAGGGTGTATCGTGGTAGTCACTTTGGCAGGGAGCTTTGCTAACATCCAACCCAAGAGGCTTTTGGCAAGAGCCCTGTTTTTTTATATTTGGATAAGACCGGCACCTTAGTAATACTCCAAAGCGTAATTTGTTACTTTTATAGTATATCAGCATAATAGTGAAATAAAAACTCTAGGATTCTTGGTAAACATTGTATACAGGAGGTAATCAGGACAATTTTCTTAGAATGTCCCGGTTGAAAATAATTGAATTAAAAGCCTTTTTCATATTAAACTTTACATATTTTCTTTATGACATGTTTATTTTCAGAGATCTCTTCCAAAGATAATACACCCCATAGATTGGAAACTCTCCCACCACTGCCCTCTAGAGCTACAATACCTGAACTATATCTATTTGTAAATTGCAGACATCTGTAGAAACGCTATTTGCAAATGTCAATGTCACTCATAATTATAATTATGAGTGACATTGACATTGAATAATTATTGATGTCGATCATAATTTTTGAATTATTAAATACATTTTTGCGCCTTAAAAGTGATAAAACGTGTTAATGGTTGTGAAATGTAACCAATTTGTAAGTATTGACTATCCTGCCGTCCTAAGCCAAAAAGACTCATCTCGTTATTATTAAATTATTCTCTTGGAAATAAGACGCATTTTAACTATACATACATTTTTAAGTACTATAGTTCCTAAAAATTTCTAATTAAATTGAACGTATCTTAGAAAAAAACAATAAAGCGCTATAATTTATAAAGTAAAAATGTGGAGTTGCGTCTTTTTGGCTAAGCACGGCAGTATCGCTCTAGCGTAAAAATACTGTTCGTTAATTATGAATTATTTAGGATTGCTTGTTTAATGGTAATTTAGTCCAGGCCAAGCCCAGGCTACTTATGGTTGTTTCAAAACCAATAGTTGGCAAGATGAATTTTTTACGGTTGGTTAGAACTTGCCAAAAGTTCACACTCAAACGCCTTGTACAAATTTCTATATGTATATGTATAAGTAGCCTGAACTAAATTACCAAACTTTGCAATATTCTCTTATTATTGAAGAATTAGGACTAATATTTTTTAGGTTTGCACTCCAAAAACAAAAACATATTCATGTATACCGATTATGTATTTAATATGTGCATATACAGGGTGTTATGTAATTAATTTTATATATTAAAATACTGAATACCTTTTGACATAAGGTGTAATGGAAAAATATTTTAAAAGATATTTTCCCAAAGATAAAAAAAATATATGCAT